CCCGGCAGTCTGTGGTCCTCTGCTTGTACAAATTATAGACGATGTGACGAGTTTAAATCAAAAGTAGGCTATAAATCCTCAAACACATTTTCTGTTGCCGACTACTACATATATCTGTTTGAAAATGGATTCTCTCTAGAGACTCGAGACAATATGTTTGGTTAGAAAAAGGAGAATTAAATCCACAATCACTCCATATACATGTTCCATAGTCTACAAACCTCACAGGAAGAGCCTATAAATCACATTTAAACCTGCTGCTGCTTTCTAATTTAATCCATTCATGTCTTTCGAGCCTCGAGGAAGTATTTTTTCCCATCAGCTCTAGAAATAGTGTAAGAGGATAAAAGTTAGGACACTTTAATTTGCAGCAAAATGTTGATAAAAGTGTCGAATAAGCAAATTGATGATGTTTGAAATCAAAGGATGAGATGAAGAGAGGGCAGCGAGGTGCTGCTCACGGTCCTGACTGCAGGACAGGAGCCGTCACACTCATCATTTGTCTCATCGTCACTGTTCATCACTTATTTTTGACGCACCAACAGCATTCAAGGATGAGATCATCCTTCCTGCGCCTCTTTAAAACACTCTTACCTTTGTTTTTCTCTTCAGCAGGTGACTTGTAAACCCAAATATGATGTCGGAGTCAACGAAGATTGTCCCCAGGTCTATGACGCTGGGGTTGGGCTTCCCAGCTCCGGGAGACCCCGGTGAGTTTGGTAAAGCCATGCGGGCTGCAAGTGTAGCCTAGAAAATATTCCACTCGCCGGGAAGCCTATTTGACTCGTAGATCCATCTAATTCATGTGTCTCGTACCCCCTAAAAAGATCCACAAGGTTTTTTAATCCGGACATTCAGTGATTCGCAGTGAGCGCTCGCACGTGTGCGTAAAAGAACCTCTCAGATTTCCAGTAGCTGGAGAATAAAGCGGTACAATCCATCCGGCAGGCTCTGCAGAAAGGGTTTATATCCACTGAGATACTTTTGGAGCCATCCTGAGGCTGGTCATGTGTGGTCTGTGGGTGCTGCTGCAGGTCTGAGAGCGATGGAGCACCTTGTGCATCTGCTGCGCTCTGATCTCCAGCCTCCCTCTCTCCGTCTCCCCCCCCTCTCTCCCCCTCTCACTCAGCCACCCTCCCTCCCTCTCTCTCTCGCTCTCAGCCTCCCTGTCAGACAGTGATGACCTGCTCTCCCACCCGATTTGCTGGTGCCTCGTTGTCATCCCCCGCACAAAGATGTAAAACACAATGACAATCCTGGCCATAACCCCTAACGACTCGCTCCCTGTAATATTCCTGGATTATTCATGTAGGGACTTACAGTACGTCTGTGGCACACGGTAATGACCTCATCATTGCTTGTGTGTTATTTCTTTGTTTTATATAATGTTCCTGCAGCATGCAGCCTAATGCACATGATTACAGTGCTGCTGCAGAATCACATGTGAGACACTTGATTTCTTATTTACTCACAGTGATGGCCATCATCAGCAGGGACAGCAGTCTGAAACAGATCAGATTTTGATTGATTTTAATATACTTTATTGCAGGTGATATAAAAATCAAATCAAATTTGTTTTTAAAATAATCAAGGCAGAATAAATCCCTTCGTTGACCTCTGAGTAACTTGATCATTGAAGGCGTTTGCAGCTATTGCTGCTAAATAATGCATCTGATGTGTGGAATCCAGTAAGATTGCACGATTGCCAATCGATATTCAATGAATAGCCTTCACCTTTTCCAGCAAGCTGAGGCTAGTTAGCCCATAAATTGAGAATGAGGGCAGTAGGTGGTTTCACAGGAGTCATTATAGGCTGAGTGAGCAGTAAAGAGCGTGTACATATAAAGCCTAGACTGTGTTTTTGAGACAGAGTATTTTGTCAGCTCAGTTTTATTTCATGAATTTGAGCCAGTTTCTAAACTGTAGTGATGATGTCATCCACATGGAGCCGCTCCACAGAGAACAGCTGAGAGTGTGACAGCACCCGCGGTGCTTTTACTAAAACATGGGCTGGTGTTCTAATTCATCGCCGGAAGCTTCATTCAAAATGGTCTGTTTGTAATTATGACAACTCAGACTGTGTTTAGGATAGACAGCATATCCCGGCACTGCTCCTCCAGTCGTCACATTCTAAGGCTGAGATGTGCAGACTTTTAGTCCCTGTGTACAGAAGACCTCAGGCCTTGAGCCTACAATTCCCATGATGCAACAGACCAGTAGCCTTTAATAGACCATAACCTGCCTGGTAAGTTCTCATGTACTATAAACTCCATGGCAGTTTGTTGCACTAACTTCCTGTTTAAGGCCAGATTGCGCTGATGCATCACGGTGGCGTCGTACTTTTAATTTCTTCAGACTTCAGAAGCTGCATTCAAACCTTCGAGGAGCAGCTCCTGTTAAACAGTGGAGCTAAAGGTCAGTTATATTTTAGGGTGGATTACTGCTGCTGGTTTGGCTCATTCACACTGTTTTAAAAGGTTGTGTTTTAACTTTAGTTCATGGTTGCAGTGACAGTACCTGTGTCTGATCAGGCTGGTGTTTCTAAACTTCTCTACCGGTTCAAAGGTCACTGGACCAGAACCAGAGTTTGTGTGTTCCATCAGGGCGGAGGTGATCAACATTTACACTCCGCTGCAACAATGGTGCTCTGACAGCCGAGCAGAGGGGGGTAAATAATAAATATTCTGGGGGTGAATAAATTATTTTTGATCCCAAACACCTCACAACTCCTGCTTATACACACACACACACACACACTTTTTTCTGTGTCACGGGGGGCAGGCAGGGCTTGTCAGTAGAGCGATAATTGCAATCCATAGTAAAGATGATTTACCCCGTCCGTCACCCAGCTCTCCCCCGCTGGAGGACGTCTGGGTTGGGTTGGGTCTCCCTCGGCCGCTGATGAAATTCCGAGGACGGGATCCCCTGGGACTGCGTGTGCTGCTACATCTGCTGCCCTTGTGCACGTACAGGGAAATCGCTCTGGGCATCTCATTAATGCCTCTCCTATGTCTTATCCCCTGCCTGAGAGACCTCTGCAGCTTCTCCCGGTGCACGGACGGGCTTTGTGAGAAACGTTTAGCAAATATTGATAGTTCTTGGCGCATGGAGGAGATCAAAGAGAAAGAAAGGAGAGAGGGGGCTGTCTAGGAAGGAGAGGGGGAATAAATGGTGCACGGTGCGTTCATGAATGATTTATGCAATATAAAGTAGCCTGCTCCTTGGGAAAAAAAAGCATTTGGGATTTTCTTGTGTAAGATTGGGAGTGTTTAGTTCTGGGTTTCCCATCAAACTAGTCCAGAAAAGAACAGATCTGAACGCAAACCTGTGTGTTTGGAATTTAATTAAGGCATTTACACTCGAGCTGACTGTATACAGGCATTGATTAAGTCTAATTGAGTCCAGATTTGGTTTAATAAGTAGTTTAATCAATGTAATGGAGAAGAAAAGTCAAGAAAATTGGTCTCAAAGCAAGTTAAAAGCAGAATCAGATGAGCCGTGTCTAATTATTTAGCAGCATTGATTTTAATAATAATCCTAATAGCGTCCTTCCAGTTATAATTTTCCTCTGGTTCGATAGATTAGATGGAAAATGACAAAAGATGTGAGCGCCACATTTACCACAGCAGCAATTTTCAGTACTTTGGACAGCGACCGTCCCCGCACACTCAAGATCCTTCATCCCACACAGAGTCATCAGAGACAAATGGTTCTTTATTGACTTGTTTTAATCAGCACCTCTGAATAGCAGCAACAGTAAAGCAGTGAAAAGACGGGTGTTACTGCAGCAGCAGAGCTGTTAAAAATTTGTATGTGTGCCAGCAGAATGAAATTACTGAACGCTGATGATTTTTACAGCCCCCCACAGCTCCTGCACTGCAGTTGTGATTGTAACACAAGGGGGCACAATGAGAGAGGGAGACATGGAGAGACATTAAGGAAGCAGAAGAGCTGAGTAAGTCACACAGTTGCTCCAAAAATGTGAGAAGAAAAAAAAAAGTCAGGCCTTTTGAAATGTTTCCCTTTTTAAAGAGCCACTCGATGGTATTTTCCAGAGTTCGCAGCATTTGTCTGCCTGGTCAAGTGGTCCTAAACATTTCACAATTTTGTCAAAGAACTGTTGAACTGTTGAGAACCACTTAATCAGAGGGACTACGCACGTCTTCTGAGCAACGTCCGTCCTCTAAACCGTAGATTCCAACACTGGTGAAAAGAAAACAGGAGCTAGAATTAGATTCTGAGACAACCTGTCGGTTAAGGCACAAGCAAACGCATCGCGGCGGCGGATTTCAGATCCTGAAATCTACGAAAATCCACAAAAACAAACAGAGGCGGCTTCAGCCAGAGCGGCCCGTGTCCGGGAGGGGGGCTTACCTGGAGAAGGTGATCTCTTTCCTTGAGGTGGTGTTTCTTGGTGTCATCTCGTCTCAGACTGTGTGACTGCAGAGCTAAGAGCTCTTTATATAGCGTTTTGGGGTTAGGTTTATACAAGCCTCTCATTCAGGCAGGAATGAGGCCCATGCTGGTTCAACCGGACGAGCTGGGTTCCACCAGCAAGGAGCACGACGGGGCAGCAACCCTTAAGACAAAGATAGCAAATACCAGCCGGCTGAGAAGGCACCTGCACATGTGGGCTTTTATTTCATCTTTGCCTTTTTAATTTTTGACTAAATTCTGATTTATCTCAGTCAGACATCAGGAGCTCACACTGAATGCTGTCATATATGTTTGGGTTTGAAGTAGGAATCCTACTAAAGGCCTTCTGCAGCCGCTAATAATCCGCTGCTATTCGAAGCACATTTCTGTAGCGAGCATGAAGAAACTCTAATAGTAGTGACCTCCAACAGTAGCATAACGTCAAAGAAAAAACCTTGTAAAATTGGAGTTTGCTCAGAAATCTTTGGCCAGCAGCAGCGCAAGAACATTTTCAGGGTTTTGTTGAACACAGAAGGAACCACAGGAGACATTCATTTGAAACAAGAGATTTATTTCTGCTGTTTTTCCCCACAAAAGAAACACATTCCTCAGACTTTTTGACTTTTTGGAACACAACAGATGGCTTGATTGATTTCCACACATTCAGATGTATTTATTTTCACGTAATCACTGAAGATGATGAAGACTTTAACCTGCATTGGTTTTTAAAAAGTCAATCACATCAAACCAAAGTAGAAATGTTTAACATTCACTTGGAACACAAAGGTACTGAAAACGGGAGTCGTTTGTGATTGTGGATGCAAAGAATACACATTTAAAACACGTCACAGGACGCAGAAACTGGCAGTTTTAGGCCTTTACGTGGCTCACACAATAGTCTGGATTTCCCCTTTCCCTGTCAAACAGACAGACATGCGACGCTTCCAGCTCGACAATCGGTCAAAGAAACAGGCTGGATGAGTCTCAAAGGTAACTGCGGGTTTTTTGTAAGACCTGTTGGAGCAGAAGGAAGCGAAAACAAGTGCTTCGGGAGCTTAGACCGAAGTGGTCAAGTGCTAACGTTGGATTACATCCCACATGATAAAAAGTTAAACCTTATTTTCATGAGTTCCAGCATCTCGCTATAAAAATGAAACCTGTGAATGGACCCTGTAGTTCCACGTATCGTGAACGTATTGCTGAAGGAAGAATAAACACCGCTTTATGAAGTAGTGCTCACAGTATTGGGTTGTTTAAAACAGCGCAGGTGGAGTTCACCTTTAATTCCCTGATTAGAGTCTCTTGTTCATACACGGTAATAAAAAGCATTTGCACTAATGAGGAACAATCAAACATTTACACGGTGTTTTTCCCCCATTCTGGGCATCACACACTCAAAGCAGTGATTACACAATATGTTGTGCCATTAACAGGTTTGGAGGGGAAACAGTATGCACAATCTAAATGCAGCTCTGGCAGAAACAAACGGGACAGCGTGTGCGCGTGGAGGACGGCTGCAGAGGAAACAAGAGGACGGTTCCTGTCAGTTGAGGTAGCGTCATTGGGCTCAGAGTCCTGCTGGGGCGGCCGTGAACTCGATCACTCCGCTCTGCCACGGGTGACAAACACAGACAGGATTACTATGGAGTAGTGGGGAGGTCACATCAGCACTCTGCACGAACACCGATCACACACGAGCACGACGACACCAGCGCGGGTCAGCAGAGTGTGCTCAGGCTCAGGCTTCACAGACGGTGATCAGATTGTGTTTGATGGAGAAAAAACAAAAACAAAAACAGGCCGGAGACACTTAAAGCTCCAATTCAGATTCCAATAGCAATCCTTTCTTTTTAGATTGATGATCTTTTTGATCTGTGAAACCTTCCTGTCACAGTTCTCTGAGCACAACCTTCAAAGAGCTCGTTTGTCCAATCTAGCACCCACACACTTCTAATTGCTAGAAAACAAAAAGAAAGCAGCAAATCCTCACTTGTGAGACGCTGGGATCTGTGAATAATAAGCAGTTGATTAATTATATAAGGCGATAACTAATTGTTTCTCATTAATGCCTACCAGCTGATAATCATTCTAGCTCTACTCAAAACACAAATCAGCATTTATTGTGTGCTCGGGTTTAATCTAAACACATATTAAAAACAACTAGTTTCACTGTTTCTCTTCCTCTCTTTGGGAATCTCTTACATAAATGTCACTATGCATAGAACATATTTACCGTCGTCCTCTAATGTGTTCATAGCCTCCCATTAAAGAAAGAAAAAAAACAGCTTCAGTCACTGAAATAAGCTGAAATTGACAAAAGTAATAATAAATAAAAATTTTATGAAAACCATGACATTGTTTTTGAATTGTGGTTCAACAGAAATATATATAAAAAAAATTTAAAAAATGATGGGACCCATAAACTAATATGTATTTTGGCCCACTGCTCATCAGCAAAGTGCTCTAATTTGTTCGGGACAATTTTGTTTTTTTCAATTATTCTTTCCAACCAAAATTCAAAAGCAATGTCTTATTTCATTAAATTATAATTTAGCAAATTTTTATTTATTATTACTTTGTTCGGTTTCTACTTATTTGAGTGACTGTTGTGAATTTTCTTTAATGGAAGGGGATGAATACATTTAAGGACGTCTGTATGTAAAATAAAACAATACATCCCCCAGAGAACTAGACTAGACTGAGCTATTGTTGTGCAACTTTCCTCTGAAGTGTGGGTGAACTGGTGACTCTGTTTGGCAACCAGTCCGAGTACATTTAGCTTCTCATGCTTGGACACACAACCCGCTACCCCGAGCGAGACATGCTTAAGAAAGGAAGGGATGGATGGATAATAGGCAAAAAGACAAAGCAGACAAGGAAGCAAGGGAACCAAAGCAGCCATGCTAGGAGGGATCTCATGTTCAATAAGGGAGACACGTGCTCATTTCATCTCATTTACCTCATCATCATCATCATCCTCATCATCATCATCATCATATTCATCATATTCATTCAATTCACCAAATACTTTCTGAAATTGAACAAGACAATTAATGGAGAGTTAATTGTGATAATTACAGAAGTGTTACATGCAAACTATTTTGAAGCTGTTGGTTTTGCAGAAGAGAAACAGAGACATGAAGCAGCACAGTGGGGAACAGAGGTTACCTTGGTTTTATTGCTTATCAGGTGAACTAAAAACGCCACCACTTCCTTTTTGCCGGCAGCTTGGGCCTGTGACAGGTGGAGAGTGACACGTCTTACTTTTGTTTATTTTGACAGTGTGATTAAAGGCAGGCGCCTCTCCCAGAACCCACCACTTGAATGGCCGTCTGTCCGTCGTAGCCCGGTTTATTCAGATCCGCTCCGGCAATGCTCCAGATTTTCAGGCCGTCCAGGTCGCCGCTGGCTGCAAGGCTGAGACGCAGACACATAAAAAGTCAGCGTTAATGCAGCAAAAGGTGAACCAGAGACCACATCAGGAAGACAAATCAGGGGCTTCGTGATTCTCAGACATTTTGCCGTAATGGCGACCAGGAGCGGCGCTTATCGCACAAAGGTGTGTTCACGAAACTGTTAATCGGAACCGTCTCGGCAAAACCTGTTGAGTGTCTCGGCCGGGTAAATAAAGGGGCCAGCCATCGCGTCGCACACTTGCCGACACTGGAGATGCAGAACAGATCCGGAGCTATGCTGCCGGGGAGCATTCCTGCCGTTTGTGTAACAGCGGGGCAACTGGTTGTACCTGTGTCAGCTATGTAGGATGGGTCAATGCGGATGGTTCAGCAACTGTGAGATTTGCGACTGTTTGTTTGAAGGCATGCTTTTCTTTGTGTGTTTGTGTGTCTCACCTGCACAGCTCGGTTCCTGCTTCCTCCAGCTCTTCTCTGGAAAAGTGCGCTCCAGTCTTTCTGAGCAGCTTCACGACTCCCTTGTGTCTAAGTCAGTGAGAGAACAAGCAACATGACTATATGTTTAACACATAGACACTGTTAACTCAGGTAAAAGCAGCCCAAAGCTAAAATCATCACCTGATACGTGTAATTAACAGACATAACGTCTCTTTGGGGTTTTCAACTTCTGCATTTTGACATCCATTGATAGAGTCAGCGTGGCTGTCGTTTGGCAAGTAGGAACAAGTTCCTCCATCCCACACAATCTTCCGCCCACACAAACGTCGCCCGCAAGGACATTCACAGTGACAGGGAATAAACAGTACAACAAAAAACCTCTGAGCAGCAGCGATCGTACATAAGTAGCTGTATATGAGGCTTTTATTAAGCTCAATTTGGCATGTAAGTGTTTAGAAGGTGCATCCAAAGAAACTCTTAAGGAAACAGACTTCCTGCAGAGATTTAAGACGCTAGTATCTCTAATCTGTGAAACTGGGAGCAAGCTGGTAGGACTGGTTCAGAGGACACTCCCCACGTTTGTTCTTTAACCTCTTCATCTCCCTGCTCCCTGCCGGTCCTTATATGGGCATCGGGCTGCAGGGCGCCGTGCAATGCAGGCAGCAAAGTGCGTCAGACGTCCTGACAGCGACTCAAAACTACCGTTCCAGTGCTTGTTGTCATTTCACTGAGCGCTGATAAAGAAAGGCACGGCTTCCCGAGCCGCGCGGCACACCGTCGGAAGTGCGACGACAGGTGTTTGCGCTCCAGTGCGTCCCTTCGCCGCCACAAAGGAAACAAGTCCACACTTGCAGTGGCAACCGTTAAAATAGGACAACAGCCATTTGGCGCAGCTCTGACACATACAACGTTTTCACCCTGAGGCTCAACATGGCACTAACACAGAAGTATTAAGGGTGGCTATTCCCTGATAGACGTTTAGAGCGAAGAGGGGGGAAAAAATGGAAAAAAAACAGCTTTGGTAAAAATAAACACACTAAATTGTCAGATGACAATTAGCCTAATTAGTTTATAATTATTGTCTGGCCTCTAAACTCCATTACGAGCTGCTCCCCTGGTTTCAACCCCCCTCTGACAGCCGCTGCTTCCTTTTTTGTCATTTAAGCGGAGCCAGATTCCCTACCTTGCAGGAGCTCATTTAATGAAGTCCCCTCTATGGCGGCTATTAACAACATGTTTTCAGGAAACACTCAGATGGTGTCGAGGAATAACAACGGGCGCTAATGGCCGAAAGGGGGGATTTTAAATGTTGACATAAATGGCGACATTACTTTAAAAGCCAGATAAAAACAAACACATCAGCTCCCTGTAAAACGAAGCAGGTCTTACTTGAAGCGCACGGCGTTGCACAGGGGTGTGTCTCCGTAACGATCTTTCGCGTACACTGAAGCTCCGTGACTCAGGAGGTACTGCACCAGTTTGAGATGGCCCTCGCAGGCAGCGATATGCAGCGGCGTGCGTCCGTCGTAGTCCCCCAGACACAAGTTGCTGCCCTGTGACGGGAGAAAATCAGCACTCCAATTTACTGCTGGTTGTCAAATCTCATGAAAAGACCAAATCTAACAACGCGTTGACCTCACTAACAAGTTTGATCTCTGTCGCCGAAGCCTGTGTGACAGAACTCCATTACTGTCAGGAAACTATTAAAAACACATCACACAGACGTTGCACTGGGCGACACTCATTAGGGAGGAACATGGCCACTGTAGTTTATAATGGGTCCATCACGCTAATGTGCCAAATATGTGGCTGAAACAATTGCTTTCTCCTGTTGGAGAAGCTCCGGTGCCCTGCTATTTAGGGAAATGAGTCAGTCTTTAAAGAGCCAAAAGCCTTTGTTTTTTAGCCCGTCTTGCTCAGGAGAGTGCCACAGACAGGGCAGGTGAGTCAGAAAGCCGTGAGACAGACGGGCGTGCTGTTGGTTTTGGTCTTTCGGTGGGAAAAAAAAAATGGAAGCCTTCCCTTCTGATAAAGACAGATTTCTGTAACCTTTACCGCTGAGCAGCACCCAAAGAACAGAGTCATTTAAAGGAAAGATGGAGGATAAAATGGATACCAAAGTGGGAAAACAAGCAGGAAAAATCTATTAAACTACGACTGCAGATTCCAGACATGTGTTTTAATGTTCAAATATAAGGATTTAAATTCTTCCTAATCAATTGCAGTGCAATCTAAGCTGCATACAAACATGCCCATGTGACCGCTGGGACAACACTCGGCCCGTCTTTCTTTACTGCGTTTTGTTTGTTTCCTACAGTTCACCTATCTAACACAGGAGGAGTGACCCTGGAAATGTGTTGTTGATCCATCATGACCAAAGCTTCACTTGAGTGCATTGACCCCACAAACCAAACACGATGAAGATAAGTCGCTGCTCCGCTGGCGTAAACTGTGTGTCTGCCAACATCCGCCATGTTGGAAAGTTGATGCCAGTGATAGAAAGAAACTAAACATGTTGACTCAGGTACTGCACCTGAGTATAATAATGAAGTACTTGTACCTCACTTGAGCATTTCCATTTAATGCTATTTTACACTTTCACTCCAGTAAATTCATTTGACAGCTTTAGTCACCAGCTCCTTGTAACATGATGATGAACAAGCTTTTAAAATACAACTAATTGAGGTCACTTTTTAAGCATCTATGAGTTGTTAACAGCTCTATCAAATAGTAATGTTTCCCCTAAATTCTCAAACGGTTTAATTTAAATCAATATTCAAAAGAGACCAAAAACTAAAAACAGATGATGATTGGGAGAGGAAAGAAGGTTTATCAGCTACATGCTCGTAACATGCTGCTGACAGGATTTGAATGATATAATATCTCATACTAGGGGGCCCAAAACGGCACTTTTATTCTAATACTTTATCTCCATTCTGCTGATAATGCTTACGTATTTTCCATGCTGGACTTTTGCTTGTATTGCAGTACTTCTATATGACTAAACTCCTACTTGATGCATCTGTTTCTGATAAAAATAGAGAAAGGCTGACAAACCATGATCATCCCAGAATGCGTGGATTAAAAGATATTCATGACAAAGTCGGTGATGATGATGGCTGTATGTGTGCGTAGTGACCAGAGTGCGGCTCACCATTTCTTTTAGAGCCTCTAAGGCCTCAATGTCTCCGATCTTAGCAGCAGCACAGGCCAGTGGTGGAGTCAGAGCGTCACGGATGGCTTCCAGCTCCTGACAACACAGAACAATTCAACAAAATGCTCTGAATATGAAACACCCTTAATCTCGAGTAAACATGCTTGAATCTAATCATGACAGTCTGGACTTGTAGTGAGCGGATTGATTTGTCTCATAATGATAAGAACTGGAACACTAATAAGGTGGTTGCTGAAGTCTAAAGGTGCTGGTGTCCTCACCTCCTTGCAGCTGATGCTCAGAGACTTGGCAATGACCTGGATGAAGCGGCTGTCACTCAGACACAGTTTGGCTCCGGCTAAGTCAGCGCTCATTTCTCCTCGCAGGTTCTGAGCCATCATCTGCTCACAAATGACACCTTATGATTTTCTCTGCGAACACTCTTCGAGCTCTTCAGAAAAGAAAAAGTGAGAATAAAGAATCCAAACCTTTTTCCTCGCGTCGAGTTTAAGGTCCTTCTTGGCCAAAACGTAGGAGAGCTTCGACAGAGCGGCCTCTGGAGTCATGTCACCACCGGCTATCAGACCCGCATCCATCAACACCTGGAACATGATCGATGTCATTGATTCATTCAGGCTGAACTAAACTAAACATATGGATCATCAAGGTGACTATTAACTACCCAATGTACTACCTTTCCAGTGGCGTAGGATGCAGACACGGTCCCTCTGAGACACTGTGTGCAGTTGATGATGATGACACCGGAGTCTGTGGCCTTCTTCAGCTCCTCCAGCAGGTCGGGACGGTTGTCTGGGGCATTTCCGCTGCCGTAGGTCTCCAGGACCACACCCTGCATGGGCGGCTGCAGGAAAGCCTTCACCTGCACGCAGATGTGAGCGTGTTTCAGATTATAAACATCCCAGATTTACAACCGACTGAACTGGGCTGCTCAACTGTGGAGAATCAAATTGAGAAATTAGTATTCCATGTTATTTTTCCTGCAGCCCCTTTCACTCCAATGCGTGAGACCCATCCACTCTCCTAAAAGCCCATCTGGTGCTATCTCCTGCAACCAGGATCTCAGTCACTGGTTGGCTGGCTGGCACTGGGAGGCCCTATACCACATCATTAGCCATGGCATATGACTAGAATGGCAGATGACTGAAATGGCAGGAAGGAGAGCAATTAATCTGAAGGTGTTAGCAAGCATAAAGTCACTTGGCAAGTCCCCGGCAGTTACCATAAAACGTGAGAAGAAGGTGACATTAAAAGTGCTAGGTTCAGTCAGTATTTTTTGATGCGATAAGCAGTTTGACAAGAAAGGTCTGACGCAGATTACCAATGAAGCTCCGGTGCAGCGGAGGGCCGTGGACGCACGAGAGCCTGGTGCCTAATCAAAACGGCGCCTCGTAAAGGCAGTTAAAGGCTGTAAGAAAGCCTTGATAGCGGAGTTGGGCAGTGGGAGCAGATTGAGACAGTAAAGTCACTCTCCCGGCAGCCTCTGCAGGGGGAGGTGCAGCTAAATGTTACAGTATCCATGCCAAGCCTCCCTCTTTACAGGGTGATTGGACATGGCCCATAACTCTGTCTCATCTTTCTCCAGCCTGAGCTTTGATGGCAGTTTACATGACCGGCAGAGCAACAGAGGACGGGTAATAGTGCAATTCAATTAAAGTTAACTATATTTTATTGCAGTTAGACAAAACAACACTCTGTTAACTTTGAAAAACATAGACCTTTAAGTGCATTTTAATATGACAAGGAGGAAAACTATTACAGGATTCTCGGCTGAAAGGTTTGCATCGTGCTCGCTATACATGCAACTGAATGCTTCCATCATTTGGCTAAACGTCAGCTGGTTTGAGGCATAAATAATGGAGTGACTTTATGAACATTTGGTGACAGAACAAACACATTTCCTGCAGAGACTTACAGTAGAAGACGTGATTCCCGGGAAGAGCCTGAGCAGGCCTACGTTGCGGTTCAGCTCAGTGCTGACTTGAAACTTGGCCGTGGTGTTTGCCCTCCACACTGTGTCCCAGTTGACTGGAGCAAAGATGGAGAAGACAGTTTCAGATTTATTTTCTTACGTGCAGACAGAAGCATGTCCTCTGTGACTTACTTGTAATATCTACTTCAGCGGTGGCCAGAGGAGCCAAGTTAGGAGACGAGAACGCATTGAAACTCCCAGTGTCCACCTTGGTCACACGATTGCCTCTGTAGAGTTTGTTGTAGAAGTACAGGCACACCTGCATGCAGAGGAAGACACACGGGGCTTTAATGCTTGATCTAAACTCAATGCAAAACGCCTGCCGGTTTGTTCTCAGTGCTTCACTTAAGCACAGCAGACACGACGACACACTTGGGTGCCACATAGACGTAGCTGTGACAGTTAAGCGTTCTTCCTGTCCTGGCATTCGTTCAACATTGCGAAACTCTTCCCATCAGACAAGTCGGCTAAGTGAGCGTTTGTTACCCAACTGTGCTCACACCTGTATTGGTAGTAGCTCGCAATACTATCGCGATACTATTCCCACAACAACAACAATAACAACAGCGCATCGTGATGCAGTGATTTGCAACACATTTTAAGACGAGCATCTACGATACACAGCGATTTGTGTTACTGAAGAAGATAAAATGCGCTTAAAAAAAAGCAGGAATTGTGGATTTATTCACTGCATTGTGGTGCCAGTGTGTTTGTGTATTATCACTATTATTCAATTTTAATAACTCAATTAATTATTTCTCAGATTTGCTTTACCCTCCTGTCTGTGCTGTCTGCATTCCCACCAAGTTTCATTCACGTAACCTTCATACGTTTGATTTATGTCACGACAAGCAGTCATGTGAGTTAGATTTGGAGGGAAATCCATTTAGATTATCCGTCTAAAATTAATTAAAATATAGATATCTGCCAACAGTGTGTTGATATACACATATACGTGTGCTGCAGTTTTGATATTCTGTCCCACCCCTATTGTAAAACAGTATTTTTTTCCAAAATATTCACATATATGCACCGTTTGTTTAGTATATTAATTAATCAGTATATTTAGAGATCATCCTCGCTTACATTCAAAGACACAACAGCTCCAAGAGTTCATTCTTCAGGGGTCATAAATTATGCGCAGCTATTTAATAACTTACAAAGATATCATTTAGATGCTATCTCCTTTTACTCACTTCAGGAATGACAAATTGGCCAGCAATTAGCAGCGCTCCCAGCAAGTTGTCTCTGCCATCGTTCCTCATCTCATAAATCGGCACCTGAAGATAGAAGACGTCTCATCGTAAGGGAGCAGCAAAATTCTGCTTAAAATTCTGCAGACGCAACTCTTGTGTTTGTTGGTTTGTCTCCCGAAGGACGGCAGCTCTTACCTGGGAGCCGGTGAGGATGATTGGTTTGCCCAAATGCTCGCACATGAAGGACAAGGCGGAGGCCGTGTAAGCCATCGTGTCGGTGCCGTGAAGAATCACAAAACCGTCGAAGCTTTCGTAGTTTTTCTGGAGTCAGGAAAGAAAAGAGGAAGATCATGTGGATCATTTAGGACGGTAACACGCTTACAATTCTGCCGTGTTTTATGTTTTACTGGATAAGAAATATGAATCAAAAACCTAATCATGACATAAATCCAGCAGCAAGTACCTCGATGTCTTTTCCAATCCTACCCCAGTCATCTGTGGTCATGTTGGAAGAGTCCAGCAAAGGGTTGTATTCTAGGATAGTGTAGACTATCCTCTTATTAGTGTAGACCACCCTCTTGTTTTCTTTACTCGGTCTGCAAGTGAAAGTCATTCATGAGCTTCAGTCACACAGATTCAATCATCTCATTTACAAAATGTGACCAAACAAACACGCCACAGTAAATCAGTAGTTTTAGTCATTTCAAGCACACACAGCACACACAGTTAAACAAACGGTTAGAATTTCCGTTGTGACAAATGATGATTTGTGTTCATTCTGCTTCTCTAACAAAAAGTTGGATCAAGTTCTGATTACAGCGGAGAAGTGAGCCTCCAGAAGAGTCGGGGAATGCTAAAAACGCCGACTTTATGGAGTGTGGCAAAGTCTATTTAGCTGGGCCTTCTGTCTCTGCAGCAGGGTGCCAAAACCTGTTTCAGACTCACAGAAAGAATTTTGCAAGCGTAAAAGGGAGAGGCTTAGTCATACAGTTAGACAGAACAGCACTTCATATTGGGCCTTTTTGTTTACCGCACTGAGGCCCTACTGTTCTGTGTATTGTATATCATAAATACAGGAAAAACTGAAGAACATGAGGTGGTTCACTTGATATCCTGGTGACTCATTTCAGGTTAGGGCAAAAGCCGGTGTTTCTTAACAATAACAGGGAGGGTGTTCTGGATGCATACACACTTATGGTGCCTTTAAGTGGAGTTTAACTCGGGCGTCCTGCAGCCCCACCTGCGACTCTCCGCGGAAGGCAGCGTGACTGGCTAAACAGCCATGGAAAGATTTTCTTTTTAATCTCCCTTTTAAAGAAACAGGGTGGGACACCCCCCACATTACCATAGGGCAGCCCCATAACATGGAGATAGGAGCTGAATGGAACAGCAGGGGGAAGAGCCCCAGTCCATCCAGCCAGGGGTCCTACACACACTCTTCTAATTAGCCTTAAGTCCGCACACGACCCTAGAACATATGTTGTTGGTAATCTTGAAGCCACAAGAAAACACTATTCAAATCAGCAATTATGCATCTATCTGACAGAGTACCCTGAGGTATACAGCAGAGCTACGCATTAGCATACCCATGCTAAGATGCCTCATAGCCTACGAATAATAAGTGTGTGTGTGTTTCTGTGTGTGTGTGTGTGTGCGCTAGAGGGCGAAGGAGGATGGAGGTGGGGCGACAACAGCCTTGCAGCGATGCCTTTCAACATAAAGCTTTTCAATAAATCAATAAAGTAATTCCCTCTTCAGAGGTAAGTATTTGACTCAGGCTAAGCAAATGCATACGATCAACAGTGTGCCCATTAAACTTGCACACGAGGCTGCTTCCCTTCATGTGAACACCGCGTGAACTCCAGAATCTGCAATTATTAGGACTTGCCGAGCAAATACACAACAAGCAGAAAAGTAATAGAATATTAGTCTGAATAAACAGAAAGCTTTTAAATGTTTACAGAGCAAATAATAAAATAACGTGGAGCTCAAACGGATCGCCTCAACTTCAAGGTTTTTATCCGACGTTAGCGTACAGACACCTTATCTTTACCATACATGCTACCCCATGGTGCCCCTCAGTCCATGTGAAGGGGCTGTGGAGATCAGAGTGTGTTTCCTTTTAGAAGCTCCCCTACTCTGACTGAAAATGACGTTAAAAAGATTGTTAATCAGCTGGTAGTCCACTCTCATTACTGCACATGCACCACACAATCAGACGACATAGTGTCAAACACAGTAAACTATCTTCTACTAGCAGGACAACAACATGCTTTTTAAACACTCCAAGAAACATGAGATTATCTCTCGTCACACATTACAGCAGCTGGCTCGCCGCTGACACGACACACGTTAGCAAGACGAGAGTAAGAGACAGAAATACTTCAGGCAATATTTTCTCCAAATGCCAAAGGCCACGTCAGCATGAATTTCCAGTCGAGCACTCTAACGTTCGGTGTTAAGGACAGTAGAGACATCAAACCACTCGTAAGCGCAGCGAAGGAACACGGCATGCTATCGGTACTACAGCACCCGAGAGACAGCAGGTCAGGATGGGCTGCTGGCTTCCTGTTGAAGTGACAAAAGCAGTTTGAGGCGATTAAAGCTGTTCTTAGGAGGGAAGAGAGCGGATTCCTTTCAGGCTCTGCTTTTTCAGATATAAAATGACCATAATACCAGCCTGGGTTCAAACATTTGTGATTATAAGGTGTCATCAGTTCTAATATGATTCACAGATAGTATTCAAGTCCATCCAAGTTGGTCTTCACATCATGTGGAGACACTACGGTTTGGGAGTATGAAGCTCTCAGGTTAGCTTTTAATGACAACAGCTATAATAATTAGATGAAGTGTCACATTTATCTCACTATGAAGATGGATGGTCCTAAAAGCCAGACAGGTGACATAAATCCAGTGTGCAGGAAATGAAGAAGACACTCGGTGACACATCTTTGAGGTTAAAAGAAGTGATTAACAGCACAATTAATTAAAATTTCTGTTATGTAGATGTATTTTTGATGTGTGTAAATGCATCTACAGGGAGCTTAATGCATCTGAAATTGAAAATAAGCATTACACATACATTGAAAACAGGAGATCCTACACAGTACATAGGGATGAATGTAGTTTTATTTTCTTTTTAACTTACGGCAGGACCAGGGTGTTCTCTCCATAGTACTCATACAGGCAGGTCTGCTGGGCATAGCCCTCGTCGTGGAGGATGGGCAGCTTCCGCAGGCCCTTCACGAAAGCGTTGGCTTTTGGGGCAAGAACTGTGGATTATAAAAACAGAGGAGAGGGGCAGGGGGTTGAGATTTTTCATTGCTTGCTTTTTGTAGGATTACATTTAATCAGTGGAAGGAGAACAGGAGGGATTTAACAGCATGTCAGCGCCACAACGCCTGTCTCATACTGAACCCTAGTGGTAGCTGTTAGACATGGCATCGTGACAGGTGCAGCGAATCCATTTAAGAGGCTGAATGAATGAATGACTGACTGACGCGGTCATTGCTGGCTGCGCATAACAAGCGTGACAGAGTGCGTGAATGCATCCGAGCATGTGTGCATACATTAAGGCTAATGGACCTTCAGCTTCAATTTAAAAGCACAATTTGAAACAGTGCAATTAGCAAAATCACAAAAGATTTAATTCAGGATATGTGCTAGGCAGCATTTAGGACGCAGTGTTTAAGCTGTTGTGTCAGATAAATCCATGCCGTCCTTCGTGGGAGGCTGTCAGGCTGATGACGGTACCTCGCATGGTTCTGCTCCGTCTCATGGTGTCAATCTATTGCATAGTTTAGATATTATCTCGTAAATCAAATTGCAACGTCTGTCAGAAAGATAGCAAGTGTTCACCCCTACTACAAATCCACATGAAGGCATATTACTGGATGTCAGTCATTCAATCAGGATTCAGCAATAAGGATTAGTTGTTTCAACCCACTGCATCTCTACAACAGAACGGACGCCCTTACAGTACGCACTATATTGGAAATAATAACGGCCAGAGCCAGAGTGGCACCACAGACCAGGAACCACAAGTCAGTGTGTTCACCACGTACACTGCATAGTGTCACACGTCTGCCATGTAGAGTTGGTTGTTGATGCTTG